TGCGGAGCCTTAGGATGTGTATACCCAATTAATGCTGCCGTAATATATAGAATATGATTAAAGCTAAATCAAAGATCAAATAAAAATATGAAATACTTACGTAAGCCAAAAAGTAAAAAATTCGCGTATCAATACAATAAACTATGCATAGAATTAGTTCAGCTGTCAATATTAACTCTTTGAAAACTGTTGATTAAAATTTGCATTTTAAGTGTCAAACTTAAAGGAATTTTCATATGGCGAGGTTCAATTAGATTATTTTACTAATCTACAAAAATGTTCCGCATACAAAGAGCTTCGGCTTTGATTGAATGCTATTCAAGTAAAATATAAATATTTTTGCAACCGTGCATACTGTTATTGGAAATATTTTTTTTAAACAGATAACATTTTCTGTATTTGTGGAGGTGAGCAATCGTTATTCTGATTACTTTCGATTTTATTTCACAGAGCGATAAAACAATCAGCATAAAACATCGAATCCTCGTACCGAGTGAAAGATGCGTTTGTACGAAGACAGTTTATACTTGACATTCTAAAAGCTCAAAACAATAATGTAACGATCTGATAAGACAAAATCATTATTTTTTCATTATGTGTGTTAATTATAAATAATAGAATAAATTAAATTTTTTTAAAAATTGGACACAAATTCTCTGAAAAATGATTTTTATAACTCAGATAGATTCATAAAGTGCATTTATTCTCTTATGTCCCTCTCTCTTTTGTATCTGAGTAACATGCCGAAGCATAAATAATAAGAGAGAGAGGGAATGAGTTGGGTTACAGGAAAAATGGTCGCATGTGACTGAGCTTATTCGTGCCTACATCATAATAACAAAGCTATCAATCAAATAAGTCGATTCTTTGTTAATTAATATTTCAATTATCTAATACGCTGAACTCCAGTTATGCAGTTCAAATTGTTCGGTCAGAAGGCTGAGGAAGGAGTCAAAATTGCTTATCAAACTAGAAATATTCCAAACACTTTAAGTATCAATCCCAGCTTCATTCTTATTAAATCTCGACGGCTAACTTGGGCAACTATTAATAACTTATATTCCTTCAACATATTTAACAAAAAATTGGTTACCCTACCTTTCACCTTACTTTACTTGTTTAGGAAAATGTACGATTAAAGTAAATGCTTTGAGGCCTTGCTATTGTGAGAATCAGTTTCCTTCGGTTTTTTATCCTGTTTGAATATATGACGAGAAGAAGGGAAGGTAAAGCCTGCAGCCAATAATAATAATAATAATTCAATATAGTCAAATCACTGGCCTCCATGACTGAGTAGTAGAGATATAAACTAACCATTCAGTGATAGAAACTCCACCTCGATTACTTTTGTGGTAGTTAGTGAGACCCTGGCTAGGTCGAGACTGTTTTCTAGGTTCGATTATGCAGCCTTTTGTGAGGCAAGGCTATGCTATATTTAATTGTCTTCTCATAATTTGAACTAATTTCGTTGTGTAGATCTAAAACATCAGCAGCTACACCACTTTGAACGACTTATAATTTCATGGATTTTTATGCAAGATAGGTTGACCTTTTATGTGGTAACAATTCCACCCCCTTCTATAGCCTTACCACTTCCGTAGGACGGTCGTCAAGGCGGAAAGCGAAACATGCTGATTTGCTCACTTATTTCTCATTCATCCTAGCCTCATTGAGAACGAT